AAGTATTAAAATAACCATAAAATGAGTCGTGCTACGTGTTATGAAATTTGAATAAATGAATATAAATATTAATATAAATGAAGGTTACTCAAACACGAAACCTCGAAATTGTTTAATATAATATGGATACCTGAAACAAGGGACATCTTCAACATTATAGCGCTGCAGTGTATTTTAATTTGAATATTCACTGAAGTATGATGAATCTGAAATATAATAGAAGTTCCTGCTACCAGCGTTGTGGCGACATGTACAGTCTGCTACAATTATATTTACTTACCTACTCTAATAGTAGCCGACACCAAGTTGTAAGCTTCAAGGTCGCAGCGAAATCGTACACAAATATCGGAGCACAGGCGAGTGAAGACAGCTGAAATCGCAGCGTATCAAAGCTACCAACTCTATACTGGTGACTTTCATCCGCTCGTGTGTGTGTGTGTGTGTGTGTGGGGGGGGGGGAGGTTCTTCCGTGGCCTTGAAGAATGCAATTTGGTAATGACTACCACAATATTACAAACATTATACATTAAGATGAATTCACCAAACCTTTATGGGAGTCGATGCGATGTTTCTGCAGCAGGTTTTGGGACAAATTTGGCCAAAACGTTCAGATTTCACTTGGCTGCTTCTCCTGAAGACCGACAGGTCGGTCGTGACACTGTTAAGCACAATAGAAATATTTTCAGTTATTCAGGTATTGTTATAGATTTCACTTAAACTTGAACTCGATAGGACTTCCATGTTTTTAACACTAAGATCAGGAATGCTATCAATTTTAGCTTCTCAGTTCTGATATTTTCGAGGCCCTTGAATGGTATGTGGATTCAACACTGAGTAAACTTTGTTTACTTCTAAGATTTTCTTAAGAGACATAAAAATACCCAAAATAAAGATCATAAGAGTTTGCATTTTGGTTTAAAACATGTCACAAATTCGTGTCACACATATGAGTAATTTGACCAAGCTGTGTCTGCCGAGTTTCCGAACACTGTTGATCCTCTCTGTTGAAAGTATTGGTGGTAACTTGGCAATGACTGCAGATACTGACCATGTGGAGCACTCATCGTAGAGTTACCAGTCCCTGAATTGTAATAATTTGGAGTTGGAACAAGTGGCAAACTTGGATGATATGACATGGTTGGTGCGGATGAAGTCGATACAGTATTTGGCACGCCTTGATGATAAACCTCCCTCTCTGTTTTGATAAGGGTTGATGAAGGTTGTAGCTCGTGGTATCTCACTAAAGGTGGCGGTTGCAGTGCAAGAGGGTCATCAGAATTGTTATAGGGGTACTCCAGAGTCGCAGATGTTTCAATGCATCGTTTGGTGTGTTTTGTGTGACTGTTGTTTGATTCTTGAGGTTCAATGGGATTTTCTTCGCTTGGAGGCTTGTGAATGGACCACAGATGGTGTGGTGGAGGTGCAGAGTTGTGATACAGGTAATGTGATTGCTGTCCGCCTGGTGGAAGGTATTGGTCAAGTTCAGAACCATCCACAAGAGCTTCGTCTTCTGGTATCATCATTGGATCACCACCACATGTTAATTCATCCATGTCGATTCGGCTGAAGTCAATGCTTTGCTGGGAATGATGTTGGTGACGATGTTCATTTGACCCTGGGGAAGAAATGCACCTTAAACTTGGTCCTAAAAGATTATTAACCAAGTACATGAGCAGTAAAATTAAAATAGGAGAATTTGTTTCTTGCAACTAAGTTCAGTTTTATTTCATTGAACATTTCAGCTGTACGTTCAGTGTTTTCGTATTAGAGCCCAGAGAATCGTAACTTAAAAGGAATAACCTGATTCTGATATAACTGGCTCTAAACTTACCGAACATTTACCTCAAATTATAACAAAGCATTTTATTCTGCAATTGCTTGGTAGCAAAGATTTTGATATGTCAAGGGTTGAACCAATCAGCGCGAGTTTCTCTTCAGTTTTGCTAGCTGTTTGCTATTTCTTGCGGCTTTCAGGACTTACAATCGAAAAGGCCTGTATATGTTGGTCTTTCAGAACGTGAGACGAAAGATCCAAGCGTAATTCTTCACAGACGCGGTAGAAAATGCAAAATGTGGTGGCCTACACGTACATTGTATTATGTCGTAAGAATGAACACGTGCAGATCGGTCTTAAGAAAGACAAATTCACATGAAAGATCTCACAACATCGAAACTTATTATGTATGGACTTGAAAGGTAGATGCCAACGTTTCGGGAAAACATACCGTCTCCGTCTTCATGACGAAATATAGCCCTGTAGATGGAGAAAATATGTTTATCCGAAAAAGCGTCCACACGATGTCACGACCTAGAAGTCAACATTGACATTTTTACAGTTGTGAGAACCCCAAATCTTACAATGTCTCACTGTCCTTCCCTGGACGAGACAAAATCATCTTTTGCCTGTGTTCTGATCAAATCTCAATGCAAAGGCTCTTCGGCATTTACTATGTACGCGAAGTAGCTCTAAGAATAGACCATATTCTCTTACGGACTATTACTTTTGGTAGCACGACAAATATGAATGAAATTCTCCAATTATATCACAATATTTCATAACAGGTTTTAAAAAAAGTTGCATTTCTTTTAACGAGGGCAGTAGAAATAATGCACAGTTTTCTAATTCTGACTCATATTTTAAATACGACAATACTAACAATAATCATCGTCATAATATCATTTTCAGGGGATCGGAGTTCTGCTCGATAAACATGTTATTAATTTATTGTAATTACGTTATCAAGCGAAATGTGTCGATACCGACTAGCTAAGAGGGCTGTTGTAAAACAAACCACCACCGATTACTACTCAGTTGCAGTTGCCATGGTTAACGTTAGACGTATCACAGAATTGACACTTACCGCAGGGGCTGGTGTGATGCTCAACAGAAGAGGTTGTTCCTGCCCTCTTGTCGCCGCCGGCGTTGGGGGTTGTTGGGGGTGTAGGGGGCCCTTGTGCGCTGTGTGGGGACCCTGATGCGAGGCTCTGTGGAGACGGCTTGCCTCCACTTAGACTACAGTCCTCCTGCTTGCACCTGCTGAGGGGAATAATTCGGGAAACAACATTAGGTTCCCATAGCGACGAATATGAAGCTGACTGTCTTCTGGATTATTTCGGCATTTAGTTAAACAGAAATTGACCGTGACTCCGTCATCAGGGCGGTGACTCAGGTCTGTGTAATGGGATGTAAAAATACCATATGTCAACAATTACGGATTATGGTTATTGAAGGTTATGTTAAGTTTCGTCATTCGCAAAATCAAAAGGAAACTAAAATCCTAAGTGGATACCAAACAATATTTAAAAGTGAATTATCTATCCCCTTAATCTACCTTGAAGGAGGAAATAATTTCCTTACAAGATTATACGGTTTCTTAACCCAGGAGACCATAATCCAAATCACCACCTCAAAGAACTGTGGGTTAAAACTATGGCGAAGATCTTCATAAACACTGTAGATAAATGCAATGAACACACAAAATACTGCACCTGAAAAGACGCTGTAAAGTCATAAAGCTAAGTGGCAATGAAAGGCGAGTGGCTTAATCGTGTATGGTTTTTAAAGTACGGTTGCTTCATAACACCAGATTATGGAAGACAGATTCAAATACGTCAGAAATATTCTTCTGTGTAACTGAATGTGGTTTTACCTAAGAGAGGGGAAATTACAGGAGGTATTATAAAATTGCAAAATGAGGAGTTTCGTAATCAAATGTTACAAATGCTTTCAAATAAAGGAGAATGAGATGAGTGGGACATGAGAGCTGAGAAATCCATGTACAATTTTGTTTGGAACTCCTAAAGAAATTACAGCACTTGGAAGACGTCGGCGTAGTTGCGAGGACCATATTAAAGCGTGCATTAACAACGTAGGGCGTGGATAAGTAGACGAACTCATCTTATTCGGGATAGAATCCAGTCACAGGCGCTTTTATAAACACACTAAACAATTTTCTGGTTCGCGATAAATTTTTTGGCCATCTGCATGAAGCTTTCTCAAGACGTAGGACGGCATAAAGTTGGGGTAGTTATAAAATAATGCGGTTCAAGGTTCGTTGTAACTGTATCTGACGAAACTAACGTCTAGTGGACAGGGACGGAGAGCGTCGCTCACCTGAAAACGACGCCTTGCGTCTGCTGCTGGCCCTGTTGTTGACTTTGAGGGGACGAGCCCCCCGCTGAACCACCATTACCCCCTTTCAAACCTTTTCGGCGTCTGGGCTGGTACTTGTAATCAGGGTGCTCTCGCTTGTGGATCATGCGTAGACGATCGGCTTCCTCGACGAAAGGCCTCTTGTCTGTGTCGCTGAGGAGCCTGTGGAAGGAAGAAGACACTGCAAAGTGGATGAATGCAAGGGGAAATGCGGAGGAAGAATTAAACATAGAGAAACGAAAGTAGGAAGGAAAGAAAGAGAATTACCGAAAGCAAGGGGAGAAAGAACAGTAAGAAGGAAGACAGAAGGAAACATAACAATGAATAGAAAAGAAAGAATGAAGTATAATTAATATTGCTGATTTATGTGGCTGCCACATTAGGCAGACTCAACTTCAGTTTGTGGGTCTTCAGGGATGTGTGACACGGTGACTTGTCTTAAACCAGGAGTTCTCAACCAGAGAGCCAAATCGACTCGCGTGCCACAAGATTATATATAAATCAGGGAAATTTATTTACACTCAACAGTTATCTTTTTTAAAAAAAAATTCAGTCATCAGCTGGATATTTAATGATACTTTTGCTTCAGTAACTTCAAACATCCGGTTTATAATCTTAAAACTTTGCATACCGTGTAGTGTATCAGAATATGAAATCCGGGTTATATTCAGTCGCTGAGATTCGCGTGTTCCATTAATAAGGCTGGTCTAAAATCTGACTTAACGTTCTTAATTAAGCTGTTATTTTACTCACAGCGACTAAGACTGTCAGGTACTGAATACATTAACGAGACGTGTTCTCTGATATCAGGCATAAATTATCTATCATACAGGTTTTAGAAACAGTCACTTCGGCCACATAAAACACATGAGGGCCGAGCTTTTAGAACCCCTGTCTTAAACATTTAGCTTCATGGTTCCTTGTTTCATACACGCGGTGTCGAACCATTTCAACGCTCACCGCCATTATAAGCTTTCTTTAGTGGTCCCTTATATCATTATTGTTTGGTCTACGATCAAGGCTCTGAACCAGTCTAGCTTATAGTTATCGTTTACGATAACATTTGTTGACAGAGTATTATTTCTTCTCATTACTGAGCCTGTTTGTAGTGTGAAGCATCAATGTGTTTATGTTCAGTGGCTACAATGTAGCTTTGCGATGTCTGTACCCGCCTTAAGCTTCTCAATTTTTGTTTTCACTACCTACATCAGCGCTCTGCAACGTCAGCTGTCCCTAACTTACGAGCTCCAATGCTGACCAGTGTTAGTTTACACAACAATATATCAACACGCTACATTGTAGCTGATACATCGAGTCAGAGGCGACTGATTCATTTATGTCGATTTGCTGTCCACGGAGTTTGTCAGTGTAAAAGTAGGCTATAGTCTAGCGCGCCATGACATTTTAATCTATTTTCCAAGACATTCGACGGTTTATAAAGTGTGATTAATAGCAGTGAGTTCTTGGGTTTGCTAGGTTCGTCAACTTATTGGCCTGTGCTGCTGATTGAAAATTTAAAGTTTCATAAAAGGTCTACTTTCAAAAACACCATTTTTAAAATTAATATCTTTAATCTGACTAACCAATTAACTGCCGCAACCAAGTCTTTATTGAGAAACTAATAGCCGCTTAGCTAGTCAATAAATTCACCTTAATTTATGTAGCTCTGAGGTTCTGGACCATGTTCATATCAGTTCCTTCCCTGTCCTCATCTGGATACAGGTCAATCCAGTTCAACCCTCATATTCTGTATGCGTACAATCCATTTTAATATTATCCTGCCACATACCAATAGGTAGCAGTACACTATTTATGAGGCTTCTCATGCAGTTTTCTTCAACCTACCATCACTTGTTCTACGCCACAATATTGCCCTCAACACCCTCTTCTCAAACAACCTCAGTCTGTGTGTTTTCCTTCTACTCTTAATCTAATTTTATTCGTCTGTCGCACTATTAATTTTTTTTTTTACTTGTTTTAAAATGGTGATAATATTTTATCTTTGATGCGTAGAAACACAACAAGTTCTGGGTAAGCACGTATAACGCATTTCCCCCTTCAAGTGTTTCACTCTGAGGCCAGCTAGAACCATTGCATGTACATAATAAACGAGTGTTTGTAGCTTCGTTGGCTGGCCTTTGCTGTTCATGGATTTTGGGCCTTCGAAGTTAATATGTCTATGTGATTATTTATCCATGGCCTGCTATGTACAAGCACATGTGTACAGCGCAGCAAAACAGACGCTTACGTCATAACGCCTCCTACCTTTCGTCAATAAGCAAAGATAAGTAATGATTTTCACTTTTACATGCTGATTTGTTACACTTTTTAATAAAAAACGGGTATTCGAGTAAGATTTTTCTAAAAACTGTAATTCTCTACGGGCAGTTTTATAGCTTTTTAATAATTATATAATTTAGTGATTCATTTTTGTACATAATTTACGTTATATTTTTCAGAGACAACGGAAAAATTCGCATTTTCTCGTTGACTTTGTTTGTCACTGACGTCACAAACCAGAACACCTTCGCCACATTCAAATTCCACTTGCGTAGTTCCAAACGTACATTAGTTATCGCCGTCAAGTCAGAAGCCGAATGTAATTTATTAGTAGTTGTTGAATATTTTTTAAAAATATCGATTACTATACAAAAACCCAGACACTGCATTAAAAGGCATTATAATTGCTGCCAAAAAAATTGCATGTTTCAAGGCCACATCAAAATCGTACAGTGTTGCAACACGAACAAGGGTGTCTAGGAGGGTGTTCAAGATCCGCGCGGCGGTTTGGAAGGGACAGAATTCTTCCGTGATCCTGAAGCATGTATTTTAATGATGGCTAGTATAGTGTTCCTCCAACATCGGTTGTAGTTCATACCAAATTTAATGAAAATCTGTCAATTTGTTAGAAAGTCATTGCGGTGGAAGTTCACACGGTCTCACTGACATGATGACAAGACAGCTATTTACCTTCCCGCTTACTTCGTTCGTACAGAGCTGGTGAGATAGTGGATAACTCAAAGTGATAAGTTATACAGTTAAGAAATGTTTGTATTGGGTCGGATAGTCGGAATGTTCACGTACTGTCTTACCGACACTGTGGAACGCCGGCAGTCAAAACAATCGAAGGCACGTGACGCAGCCTGGCCTCCCTTCACACGCGAAAGCTTCTGCTTACCAAATGCTTAGTTTGTTCTTCAAGCGTAAGGCGTGTAAATATTTGGTCTTTTTTTATTAAATTTCTTACGGTTTACTTAGGAATGACCTATCCACCGTTACCGCTAAGGTCAATTGGGATTAAGGTTCAGTCAGTGTGGACAGGAGGCAAGGGTTAGTGGGTTTTCGTGGTTTTATCTTATTCCATGGGAATGTAGAATGGAATCTTAAATAGTTCTCTGTAGTGTGGGCTATGCTGCTGAACTATGAAAAATAATTCGTCCATTTCAATTTCCTGATTCATCGATCTGTAAAGTTGATGCATCGACGTTAAATAAATCACGGTCTGATATATGAAACTTGGGGAAGTCCCCGAGAGCCATCACCTGTCCATGATATGAGTTACTAACTTCTTGTAAACATCTCGAAGGCTCTTAAAAAAAACACTCCTTAGATTGATTTCTGATGACCTCTGCTCGTCTTGGGACGCGTGTGTCCTGAAGAATGGGGTCCTCTGTGCTGCTACAGTTTCTAGAGGAAAGAGGATTTACTTTTTGTTGTCGGGAACAGATGGAGCAGCTGCAAACGCGTGCCTTATCGCGCCAGCCCCAAACATTGCGAGCAAATTCTCGGATCGTACGCTGTTCTTTTCATACAAAATAAATTTTAAGATACTAATGATATCACATGACTAGGTGTAAACAGAGTATGTGAGACCCAGGGATACGATTTTCCTGTATCTGTACTGGTTCTACTCGCGGCACTACACGATATTTTAATCGCCAAAGTTCAAACCGATTATGGGGAGCCTATATGACCATTTACCTACTGGGTACCGTGATTTTGTCTTGGTACGTCAAGTTAAACATTCTCCTTCGTCCTCATAAAATGGTGCGTAATTAAGCATCACTGCGCAGCTCAGTGTAGTGACCGGGGTTCGATCCCCAACGTGAGGAGAGGATTTTTCCTCTAGTGTTGGTATCTTCCTCAAAGTTCACAAAGCATTACAACCCACAGACGAATATATTTAATAAATTTATATTAATTAGATATCTGTGGGCCTGATTCTTCTTCTTCTTCTTCTTCTTCAAGATGCTTATGTTCTTAGGAGCCTTGCCCTCCTGGAAAATCACCAGGAATTTAAACACGTGGAGAATATTTATGTTTTCAATATCGTATTCTACCAAATTCTCCTTCTCTTCTAATGTAAAACGGATCAGATATTGACTGATAAAGTTTACCTCAAAAGAGATACACGTTTGACAGGCTTAGTTTAAATAGGATAAATCACACTGGTCATCAACACCCGTGCTTTAGAACCCCTAACATATCCGAGTGTGTCAACTTGGGAAGTCCGGACAAAAAGCAAAAGAATTGGACAGAGACCAGACCGTGGCGGCCAGCAGAGCTTCAACTCCCGCCAGACTGATAGAGGGTCGACGCGCTGACTGACAAATCCCAGACACCTTACTTTTTGTTGGAAGATGTACTCAAACTGTGGACAGAAGAAGTTGGTCTGAAATGGAACACGACACGAGGAGACGAGGGTTTGATTCTAAGCAGACACGGTGACCGAATGGTTCTACCAAAATTACAGGAAGTATGTCTT